GAAGGGTGGAGAGGTCCTTGCAATGAGTCTTCAAAGCAGACACTGCGGCTTTCTCTTGGACCTCACCTTAATTGTGCTTGGTCCTATAACAATTTGCTGTCTTCCTAGGACTTCTGATGATTTTTTAATTATCTGTTCTTCCGCACTTTTGCTTCCATATGTGTTGTTCACTGTATATTTTTTGCTTCTTCCCACTAATTTCTGATGTGTTGTATCCAAACTGTCTTTCTACCTCTTCAGCCTTCTCTGTGCTGTGCCTCCCCCCAGAATCCCTGCATTCTTGGCATTTTATTGTAGTATAGGTGGGGAGGTGCTAACAGGAAAGCTTCTTCTTGAGAGCTGTTCCAGGACTTGTTCCCTGGCTTAGCATGATGAGTTACTAAATAATAAAAAGCTCGGAGTCTGTTAAGGATTCAAACTTTGTTAATTCACATCATTGCAGACCTGTGGATGTGGTTCAGGAGTGTTTCCCAAAGTCTTTATCCCAGGTCTCTGACAGAAGCAGACTTTCTCTGTAGCAAATTTTAGCTGGGGAAGGGAATTACCTTCTGTTCCCCAGAGAGAAGTTAGGCTGTGACTGTATGATTGTAAAGCTGTTTTGAAGCACATTGTGTGGGACATTTAAAAGGCTTGGGGAGGTCAGAACTCTGTGGATTTTTTTTTTTTTTTAATTCACAATTCCATCAGCTCAGAGATGTGGGGACTTCTATTCCTGCCAGCAAAAAGGAGGGAAAACACAATGCAAATCAAGGTTTTCTCCTTCCACAGATGTTGTCAACTTGGACCTGAAGTCTACGCTCAGGGTTCTGTACAACCTGTTCACCAAGTACAAGAACGTTGAGTGATCCTGGAAGCTGCTGAGGTCTCTTCATCCTTCAGCCTCCCCAGGCAGAAGTTACAATAAACACACCTCTGCATGCTCCCATTATGCCTTATGCTATGCATTTCATGCATTCTTCCTACAGCTAATGTGTTCTCTCTGTAGCTGTTTGTAAGACAATCCTGCTAAAAATGATGCATGTATATTCCCCAGGTCACTTGAAAATGTATAGGTATTTCACACTTTTGCCAGAAAGATCTGTTGTTTGCTATAATCCACAAATGTGCTTTTGAGAAAGGAAATATACCACTAACTACTTTAATAAGCAGGGGAAACATGAGATTTTCCTCATGGCTTGAGATTCTTTGCTTCTGCAGGTGGCTTTCTTTTGCATACTCCTTGGTTGCAACTGGCATTTGATGATTTTCCAGGCTTAGAGTGTTAACAATAGAAAAATCACCATTGGAATTTATTCAGAAGCTGAGCCTTTTCTGTTAAATAAGGGTTTGTGTGTTCTGTTGGGTGGGTTGGGCTGAGGGGAATTATAGGCACTGTCTGAAGCTAATGGCAAAAGCTTCATTTTTTTGTGTTCACCTCTTTCTACTCAGTGTTACTTCCATTCAGTGTTTACACAGACTAAGACTTGCAATGGAATGACCAGCTAATCTTTTGATGTCTAGTTTTTATTTAATCTATTTTCTAGGAGAAATTTGGTTGCTAGGGCCACTGTCACTCATTAGGCAGCTTCAGTCAGGTTGGTCCAGAGCTGGTCACACAGGCACAGGCTGGATTAGTGCATTTTCCCCTGTCCTTCCAGAAATGACAGAGGGAATGTGCTGGAACAGGAGCCATCTGAGTGGATTTTTGAGGAGAGCTTTGTGGAGGAAATGGGATTGGCATTTCCAGAGTAAATGGTATGTGGAATATGTGTTTCAATATCACCCTTTTCATTTGAGCATGTAGAGGAGAAATTTGATTGCTGCTTTTATGTATCACAGCAGCAGCTGTTGTTTCATGGGCAGCCATTCCTTTGGCTGAAACACTAGACAGAGTGCCCTGAAGGAGAGCAGGTAGAATTGCTCTCCTCCAAGGGCTTCCTGTTGGAAGTCAACATCTCCTTTCCCTAAAAATCAATTTTTTTTTTTTACACCAAACATTATTTGCCTTTGAGCTCAGATCCAAGAGGAAACGTGCTATTTAAATGGTATAATTTTACAATTAGGATTTTCTCCTTCCCCTCTCAAACAGTTTTTCATCTCGGAGGGAAAGAAATGAGCTTCTGCTTCTTTGCTTTGTGTTTTTGGATTCTGAGTTCTAGTATTTGGATTACTTGGATTACCTCCCCTCACACCACTAAAAAAAACCAGGAAGTGTGAAAAAGAAGGAAGCTACCCTTTCTTTGCATGAAAAATTCAGGTCTCCTCTGCTCTGCCAGGCTCTCTGGGGAATCTCTGGATGCCTGTACTTCAGGAAGGAGCTGACCTCTCACTGTTTACACTGAGCCTGGAACAAAGATTGAGTTCAGATGGGGCCACTGAATTCCCCCACAGCACCAACAGAGGAGACTTGCACAGGTGCTGAGGCCTGGTGGGCAGCTCTCTTGGCAGGTGAAGGAAATTGGGCTAACTTTTATGCTGAGAAATAAAGGTATCACGAAGCTGGAAGGTCACTGAGCTGAAAGGTCTCTCAAACTTAGTTTAATGCAGGGTTATTTGCAGGTAGCAAGTCTGTTAAGAGTTGTTATTCCACCCCCACTTCCTTCAGGTGATGTGGAGGTGCCAGCTCTGTTTATATTCTCTGAGTTGCTGGGAAAGACCTCCAGAGAGTATAGTTTTTGCAATTGCAAGCAGTATTAATGTCAAAAGCAAACAGAAGATAAAAAAAAGAAGAGATGGGTGAGGGCGATGTGGCTTTGGAAAGGGGAATGGCTGTTTCTGAGCTGGCATCACAGAGTTGGCATCTTCAGGGCACATGAGCAGAGGTGAGCAGGTTATGACAGGTTATAAAAGAGTGTCTATTTTGTTGAATTCTGTGCTTCTGGTCCCCTTGCTACAACCATGGGTTTCCTTTAGCATTCCTTCTGTTAATGTCCCTGGCAGCCAGGACTGCTCCCTGTATCAGGGGTCACAGCCTGTTCTGTTGGGGTCCTGTTTTTTTGGTAGATGATGCACAGGGAAAATACCTTTTTCATTCCTTGGCTCCTGGCTGTCTGGCCAGCTCACTGTTCTGTAAACATTTATTTATTGCTAACCAGCTCTGTGAGCAGGGCAGATTGGACTGAAGTGTGGCTTCATCCCAGTTTCCAGGAGCAGCCATTAGGTAAAGCTTCTCTGAAAGCTTGCCTATGTCATGCCTTGCTGTGACAAATGCACCATAATTCTTTGCCTCTCAGAAACCTGAGTCAGTGTTAAAAATGTTATTCATGGTATCTTTGTGTGAGTGGGGTTCTACGTATGGGTACCAGTCTGAATCCTTTTGAGTTCATCTAGAATGCTCTGCAGCATTAAAGCTCCCACGTTTGTAAGTACTTAATGAATGTCTGTCTCTTCCAGTCCATACAACTTGACTTTTAGGTGCATTTACTTGACAACACTCAGTTACACTGAGCTGTATTACCACTGAAAAAGCTCAGATAGTCCTCAGCTGCATTCTGTTTTTCAAGATGAAAAATGGACAGTGGCAAATTTTTTTTAAAATCAATTTAAACCTTACAGAATTTCATACTCCTCTTCCCCACCCCTCAGTGCTTTCAGTATTAATGTGTTTTTTAAGAGTCTTTTCTATTGTTTTTTTAACAGTGTTTACTCTGGATTTCTAACTACTAAAAACAAGCCTTGCAGATAAAATTCTGGACTTGTCATATGTTGGAGACATCCATCTTAGTGATAAGAGTTGTGTACTGTAAGCAAGTTGCAATGCAATGCTATGTTTGCTAAAATTCACAGCAGGAGTGTTTATGCATGGTTTTGGACAGCTGTACTATTTATTCAAATAAACAAATAATGATCACTGTTTTCTATTTTTTTTTTCTCAATGGAAAAACCTGTGGGAAGAACTTAGGAATGGTGAGCTTCCCTTTGCTCTGGTGTGCAGAGAGTGTAGAGTGGCTCTCCAATGCAGCAGCATGTGGAGAAGCAGGAAAATGCATTATCAGAACTTGTTATTGCTGTTGAATCCTTGAATTGTTCTTCAGTGGTTATTTTCATGTGGAGCCAGGTGTTTGTGGTGGGGGGGTGTGCATGAGATGTGCTTTGAGAACTTAACAGGAACACCTACCCTTGGAGCTGGTTCAGGGACTTCTTTGCCCTGTTTTCTTGTGATGTCTCCTCAGATTCTGGTTGCAAAGCAAAATATCCTTTTTAGAGGTTCTCATCTTGAGATTAGGACTCAACAGAATTTCAGGAAAGTTAAAAGGGTTTGCTTATTTCTCTAAAATCTAAGAGAAAGGATAGGAAAATTCTAGGAACCATATAACAGTCTGCAAAGCTAAAAATACATGAAAAATGTGTAAAAAGCAAAAATCTTCAGGCATCATGGGCATGAAATCAAATGCAACTCATACAGGATTGACTACTGCTGTTCTACAGAGGTCTGGATACTCCATGCACTGGTCACTACATCAGGTTTTGGAGGAAAATAGGTGTGTTAATAAATACAATTCACACCTGGAAAAAATGTGAAAGGGGAGGAAGAGCAGCAGCACTGCCTGCTGGAGATAACTCTTGTCTCACATCAGTGGTTTGGGCCCTGGTGTGGCTAACTTCCTCTCTGAGGACAAAGGAATTCATTTTCTAGGTTTCTCCTTCTGCCAGGTAGGTAGAGTGGTCCTGATCTGCTCTATAAAACACCTGAAGGAGCATGAGGAAAAGAATGTATTGGAACATGATGTCTGCTCTTGGCTAGTTTTTTATTGCAAAGAAAACAAAAGTGCTCTGTGAGTCGCGCCAGGGGCAGAGCAGCCCAGTCACGCTGGGCAGTGCCATCCAAGAAAGATCATACCTTTTGAACATTTTCTGCTGCTTCAGGAGCTGCAGGGCTGCATGTTTCCTGCACTTGTGCTCCTGATGGTTTCAGTCTCTGCAGCAGGGACCAGCACACAGCCAGTTCAGTTCCGGATGGGACCATGGTTTCGTTTTTAAGAGCGGAGCACTGCGGCACGACTTCCCCTTGGCGTGCTTTGTGCTGCCCTGCATGGGAGCCTCCGAGCCTGGACTCAGCCCTCTCCCCCAGAAATTGCATCCAGACTGCTGGGACAAGGTCTTGGAAGAGCTTCTGGAGCGTTACTGAAGGAGAGAAAAGTAAGTTTGGAAAACGGGGCTCCTTTGGGTGCTTTTCTTCATAATCAGTGTTCGTAACTGGAAGATTTTCTGGGTCTGTGTGGATTGTTCTTACTAAGATAACATCTCTTCTGCTTCTTACAAGCAAAGATGGCTCCTGAAAAGTGGCACTACACAAGGAAGTGAAAATTAAATTTTAAATTGGGTGCAAAATGTGCATTCTTTTTTTTCTTTTTTCTTGTTTTCTAATTCTAGTTTCCCAAAGGTGGAAATAATACTATTAACATTCCCATTTGTTTTTTTTTTTCCTCCTCCTTTGTGTAATTTACTTATGAAATGTGTTTACGCTAGGCAGAGTAGGACTTTTGTCTTTTTGAACAGGAAATGAAACAGGTGAAACAGTTGGGTAGCATTTGGAAAGTGCCTTGTGAATATTCTACAGCTGGTTTGTAAGCCAGAGACCCCCATTAGTGCTTTGTGTGGTGCCTTGGGGATATCTGGGAGACAGACCCTGTGAAGACTCACGGAGGGAAAGCGACCCTGTGAATTAGTTGTTTATCAGTAGTTGTGACATTGCAAGTTTGTGCAATAGCCTAGCTCCTGATCTAAGAACTTTCTTGGCAGCCACTGCAGGTGGCACAAAAGAAATCAAACATCCCTTGGGTTTAAATCAAAGCCTGTACATCCATGGCATACTCAGAGAATGAGCATTTCATTCAGAGAATGCCATTTCCTTTGACTAGCCCATAATTAAGCATCTATTTCATTTAAAGTTGCCATAATGAAATGCCTGTACAGTCAGTATTCAAGCAGTTGTCTCTTACAATGTATTCCAAGTACTGATAAAAAAACGTGTGCAGGAGGATAGGGGCTGGAAAACCAGGATGTCAGCCACAGCTCTGAGCAGAAAATTTAACTGATGGGTGTCAGGGGCTGATTGCAGCAAATGTGGAAATTTGTGTGTGAGAACCAACTCTTCTGACCTTTCCTATTTCTCATTAAACAGCTCACCCAAGGAGGTGTCCCAACCCTGGCATGTTCCATTTTATGTTGTTTCTGCAGTATGTTATCCTCTGAAAGGCTGTTGCCTGGGATCAAGCCTTACCAATATGCTGCAGAGCCACATGAAGGACAGCTTGGGAATGCTAATTATGAGTAATAAGCAGTGAGTCTATTAAATGCTGGAGAACTGCAGTTCTCAGACTCTGAAATGCCTGTGGGAAATCAATACTGATAAATATGAGCTGAAATACAATAAATTATGGGTTCTCAATGGTGTGTTGCTATGTAGGAATAAGATCTTGGAGATGTTGTAGATAATTCCCAATAAAGGGTCAGCAGTGATGCAAAAAGCAAACAGGACTTATGAGGAGAGGAGCAGAGACCACTGTGAATGCTGCAGTGCACCTTTCTAAATCTGGGCAGGTCTGGTTCCTAGCACTTCCAAAAGGCTGTGATAGTGCTGGAGGAAGCCCAGAAAACAGCACTGAGGATGAGCAGCTGGTTTTCCAGGGAAGAGTAACTGCAGGCTGTCTTTTCTCAGTTTTGGAAAGAGATGGATGTGGAGGCTTTGGGGCAGTAGGGCAGGATTGACACGGAGCATTAACACAGTGGTGTGAAAAATGTGGATCAGTTGGCCTTTGCCTGATGCCTTCATGGGGAGCTGGTGGGTCAGAGCAAGAAACAGGAGATGGAGCTTCAGGTGATGTGAACTGCACCTCCTCACTGCTGAGGGGTGAGAGACATGTTCAAAGGGGGAGTGGGGAGTAAATGTGTTGATAGCTCCTGGTGACTAGCCCCCAGCTTTGCTTTAGGAAGGCTGAACTGCAGACTGTTAAAGTGTTTTGGGGAAGTGTCTCTATATCCTTGCACTGCTTATAGATTTTGGGGTTCTGGTTTTTTCCCCTAAGGTACTGAAAGGGGGGGACTGGATACCAGGCAAGTTAATCTTACCCAATTAAAATTAGCAGATTTAACTCTGACTGACACACAGGACTGTGGCCCTAGAGGGTATTATGCTACCTTATTGAAAATTCAGAATTTTAGGCCTTGCCCTACAGGTTTCCAAATTTGAGAATGGCTCCTGATGTTCAGTTTCCTTGACCAAAAAGAGCCTGGGGGTGTAGCAGGCATCACACACCACTTTGATAGTTGAGGGAAGTAAGAGATACACAAGTTGAATATTGCAAAGCTGAGTGAGAGTAAGCTGTGGTTTACACAGACCATTTCTGTTATAAGCTGGACTTTCCCAGGGCATCACAGCTATCAGAAACCTAATTTAAAAGTAAGTTGTCCTCTGGGTTGCTCTCTGTTAATTAACTTCTCTCAGTTAATTTAATCTGGGCAGTCTTATCTCACACAGTTCAGTTGTTCCTCAGGCACTACATCACTCAATTTCTCCTATCTTTTTTTTTATCAAGCAGCTTTTTACAGATAGCATTCAGTTTTGCCACCAGCATACTGAAATGAATTCTCTTGTGACCCTTTCTCCTGGTGCCTTGCTGGCAATTTTGTGCCAATTTGTTTTACCAGATTGATGTGCAAAAGCATCCAATTGCTATTTTCTCCCGATATTCTCTCAGCTTTGGCAAAATCTGTGTTAAAATACATGTTCATAACACACCGACTGGAACCTGTAAGAAATTTGTGAAAGCCTTCAGAGCAGCACTGTGCTGTTTGGTGTATAAAGCTATCAAGCAGAGGAATGTCACTTTGGAGATGCTCTGTACCACAGTATTTTCAGCAGGTGCCTGTCTGGGTGGTGGGAGCATCTCACTTTAGGCACCTGCAGCACCAGCTAGGGCTGTCTCTGATACCAGAATTGGAGGGAATGCCATTCCTAAAACTAGGATTAGCCACTCATTGAAGTGCTCTGGATTGTTTTTTAAAAGTGCCATTCCCACTCATTTCACAGGAAGCCTTAGGGCTCCCAATGTGGGCACCCTGGGTAGAGAGTAGGAGAACTCTCCTGAGGGAACCTCTAATATGGAGCATTTCATTTTCTGTTAAAAAGCACAAAACTGGTCATCAACCCCTCTTCTGCAGTGGGCCAGCAGTAAAAGTATTGCTGGTCATCACATCTGTTCTGCTCTGACTTCCAGAGACTGTTGGGAAGGATGAGTTCTCCTACTCATGCTAGAACAATAGTCTGCTCTAAGTGTCTGGAGCCCTCATCCTCCTATAATTTCTTCCACCTCTGCAGGCCACAGTACAATTGCAGTTTGTAATTCTGATTTCTGGCACATTAATCAATGTGCATTTAGTTTATGAAGAGAACCATTTTGCTTCTTGCATGTGTGGAAGGCTGGGCCCAGGGAGTGGTGGGGAATGGAGTCAAATCCAGACGGTGAACAGTCCCAAGGACTCAGGGCTCAGCACTGGGGCCAGTCCTGGTTCTTGTTTTTATTGATGATCTGGGTGAGGGGATGGAGGCACAGCCAGTCAGTTCATGGGCAGCAGCCAGCAGGGTGGTGTCAGAATGTGAGGTATTGATGATTCTGAGATTGCAGAAAGTCTCTGTCTGTCAGCCCCACTGCCAAATCGGAAGCCATAATTGGTCTGTGCTGGTTTCCAGGTTGTTTATTCTGTTTATCTCTAACATGTTCTGCTGCCCTGCCCAGCTCTGTCCTGCAGGGCAGCGTGTGGGGCTCTGCCCTCAGTGGGATGGTACAAACATTAAATACCAGAAACTCCCTGGGCTGGATTTACAATAACGTGCCAATATCTGTCACCTACGTTGCACAGTGTGTCCCCAGCCTGAACCAACAGAAAAATGCCAACACCACAGTGAAACATGGAGGGCAAGAAGGAGAAAAAGGACAAGACACACACAATTTCTTCTATCTTGTCCCCTTTGAACCCTTTATCTAGAATCCTAAAATTTTACTTTTGCACCCATGCCACACTTAATTATTACTTATATCAAACACTCAGAGCTGGTAATTCATGCTGTAAGATTGAAAACTCTTTTCCATGGCCAGAGATCACAGACAGTGTCTCTGGGGGCTCTGTCCAGGGGGGTTCCTGACCCCTGCCAGGGTCCCAGACCTGCCAGGGCAGCCAGAGGGAAGCTCTGGAGTCCCACAGGGTAGGGTGTGGATGTGCTGGGGCAGGCAGGCTCTGCAGAGGGATCTGGCCAGGCTGGATCCATGGCCCAGGCCGGTTGTGTGGGGTTCAACAAGGTCAGGTTTGGATCCTGTCCTTGGCTCACACCAAACCCTGCAGCTCCAGGCTGGGCAGAGGGGCTGGGAAGCCGGGAAAGGCCCTGGGGGCGCTGGGGACAGGCTGGACAGGAGAGACATGGAGGGGCTGGAGCGTGTCCGGAGAAGGGAACGGAGCTGAGGGAGCTGGGGGGGCTCAGCCTGGAGCAGAGGAGGCTCGGGGGGAACCTTCTGGCTCTGCACAGCTCCAGACAGGAGGGGACAGCCGGGGGCATCGGGCTCTGCTCCCAGGGAACAGGGACAGGACAAGAGGAAACAGCCTCAAGCTGTGCCAGGTTGGACACCAGCAGGAATTCCTCCATGGAAAGGGTGCTCAGGCATTGGAAGGGGCTGCCCAGGGAAGTGTTGGAGTTTCCATCCCTGGTGAGATACAAAAACAATGCAGATGTGGCACTTGGGAGCATTAGTGGTGGGTGAGCAGTTGGGACTCAATGACCTCAGAGTTTTTTTCCAATCTGACTCTAGGACTCCATACTAGAATTTGTTAAAGACACTATTCAGATGCCAATAGCGGTCCTTGTCTCCTCATATCTGTACCAATAAAGGAATCTGCTTATATTTAGTAACTTATCTCAGTAATTTAACTATTGGTTCTGGATTTAATACTCCTTAAGTATCAGTAACTTTTATATTTTCTAGCTTTTATACATTAATATCTAGGGACTGAAACCTTTTTTCACTTCAGTTAAAATAGGGTTTTACTTATCTAATACAGGGAAAATAAAATTAAATGTAATTAAAGGAAGTTTTAGTTCAGGTCTTCAGGTTATTTTTTCCTACATTTTGATGATTAACACAAAAGAAAAATGAAAATGGTTTTAAACTTTTATTTTATTTGCACACATTTAAATATATTTTCAGATTTTTTAAAAGCAGCTAGTGATGAAATAGTTGACAAACAAACCCCTTCAGTTTTTTGTTTTCTTAGCACTAATTTTGATCTTTACGTGCTTTTGCTCATGTTCCCTTCCCCCCCCCCCCCCCCCCCCATGTTTTTTACCAGTTTGCCAGGAGTGATTAAAGACAATGGATCCAGACTTTTTAAATGCATTTACACAGCCTTCTACACTTGATCGATTCCTAACTGAGAATGTCATCGCTAAAGGTATGTGCTTTATGGACCAGGACAGAAAAAAGGCCAAAGAACCACCTAAAGGGTCAAACAGAAAATGTGCTGTACAAATGAATTCTATATTTTTCAGCAGTGATCCCATGGCTGTATCAGAAATGAGTAAGCTCTGTGTGTGCAATTTGCCTGCTGACTCTTTGAGGGCAGATCATCAAGAAGCAACATAAAGTCCAGCTGGTTCTTTAACTGAAATTTAAGTTTCACGCATGTGGATCTGACAAAGTGTGTTTTCCTCTTTCTAAAACTGTCCATCTAGATTTTACTCATTTGAAGTACACTGAAGCATCATTTCCAACAGCAGACTTAGTAGTCTGCTACACCAGTTTCTTGCTCATAAGGAATGAGTTAAAATGAAAAATAAATGTTTCTACATCGGGCAATTAGCTATATTGGGACTATCAAACTGATAGCAGATTTATCTGCCCACTTGCTTTATACACAGTCATATCTGATAACTGTGATGGATCTTGTTTGCTTCCTACCACAGGCGAGAAGAGGAAACTCATAAAGCCGACCTCAAGCAACAACCCCAGACTGGAAGAATTGAAACTGGTACCACTTTTTATTGTATAGTTTAACCTTCACCTTGAGCTGCGCTAAAGGAAACAAGGAACCTGGTTCTTCAACTTCTTTCGGCCCTATAAATTGCCCAGCTCTCTGACCCCAGTCCCCCACTCTCTACAGATGAGAATGAGCTCTTCTTTTGGTGTTTGGGCACCAGACAAGTGAAACCAAATAAGCTTTTGATCCAACACAGTGTGAGGGAGGCTGGGGCCATACAGGATCAAGCTTCCAATGCCATGAGCACTGCTGGGTGTGCAGTGCAGATATAAACCTGAGTGGCTTCTGATGTGACACCTCTCCTAACCTGAGCTGTGTGGGCGAGCCACATCAGAAGCACCCAGTTGCTCTTGCATTGTGATGGTAGCTAAACAGCCACGAGAATCCAGCCAAAAACCCAGGCTGGGACCACAAGGAGACCTGTGTCAGCATTTGCTGTGACTAAGGAGAGATATGGTGCAGGTTTGCTGCACTGATCCTATGGTAGCTTTTAGGATTGCTCTGCTGATTTGCAACAGCCTTCAGCAGCAGCTGGCTCAGCTGGCAAGGTCAGCAGAGGGCCATGGGATGAAGAGTGTGCAAGTCACCAGGAATTCGGGATGGAAGCTTTCTGCTGTTGTATGGTACATTGCCTTCTTGAGGTAACTGTGAAGGATGAGTCCTGTTCCATAGACGAGTACTTTATTTCCATCTAATTTTGAAAGTCTCCCTGGTGTGTTCAATCAGTGTTTCGATTTCTCTAATGGCACAGTTCACGTAATGAAACCTCCTGGAAAAAAAGTTGCATGTGTCTTATGAGACCAGAACTCCTTGCATTATAGACGTGCTGAAATTGTTAGAAATATTATGAAAAGCAGCTTAAGATATGTGCTATTGGTCATAATTTGTAGCATTTATAAACATGTAGATAGGTGTGTTTCTATTTTAGGTATTCATACACATTTGATCAAAAAGATTTGATTTTTGTATCAGGTTTTCATGAAGTTACACAAAAAGAAAAGTCTGAAAAGTAGTGCTGCAAAATGCAATTATGTTGTCTATAGAAAGACTGGATTTGTTATTTTGAGTTTGCCAAAAATGAAGAGTTTTCCTCAGTTATGAAAATTTCTGTGATCTTCAGTGCTTAATCCATTTCCTGTCAGAGATTACTGGAATGATGTTCATCACTGTCTAACATCTTTTGTTTGTGTGATGAGGAGATGGAAATTGTGTCCTGAGAGAGACAAAGTCCTCTGGGTTCCCATCAGTGCCCCTTGATTGCCTTCTTCATCTAAAAATTTGATGGCTTCTCTAGAGAAACATTTGGGATGGAGACAGGGACAGGGAGGAATCTTCAAGGGAAGAACAAGGGAAGCAAAGAAACTCACTGGGGAGAGAGGCTTTCACTGAATTTTCATTTGGAGGTGGCTTTGGAGAAGTGAGAAATCCGAAATGGCTCCCTGTAGTTGCTGTAAATACCCATCTGCATGTAAAGTAGGAGACGGTTACATTCGGAAGCCAGCAGCAAACTTCTCAAAGTATTCCTTTTCTGTTTTCTTTGTTTGCTCATTTTTAGACATGAGGCTCTGCTCTGCAGCTGAGTGGGGCCCCCACAACTGGGCAGAAAGCAGAACTGTGTGAGCTGCAGGCTGTAGATGTGGCTGGGAGAGCACAGGAGGGATGCCATGGGTCTGTGCTCAGCTGTGCTTGCTCCTTTTCTGACTTCCCTCTGGCTGCTCTCCTGTGTTTGGGGTTCTGCTCTGCCCCTCACACATCTGAAGTGTCACCAAGCATCAGCTGAAGAGCACAGCTTTCTGCTCTTGTTACTTCTTAGCTGAGGATGCATTTTACAGTTTGACAGCTTCCCAGTTCAGGCTTTTTTAATTTCTTTTGCAGTTTCAAGCTTCTCAGAGACTTTTCTTTTCAAATCCTTCTTACATTTTTGTTAATGTTGGCGAGCTTACAGGAATCTGGTACGAATTTTCTCCTCTGTGTACAGCAAGTGAGAAGGATATAATCCACTCCAGACGCTCACTTGTAACAATCACAGCAATAAAAGCAATACCCTTCCCTCTTACAAGAGGGATGTTCATGTTGGCAGCCAGCTAGGGCTACTGCTTTTCTGTTCTGCTTCACCAGGTCACCTTCCCTTTCCCTCAACACATGTGGATAAAACACATGCTTCCCTTTCCCTCAACACATGTGGATAAAACACATGTGGATAAAGCACTGAGGAACTGCTTTGTTCTCCCATCTAGGAGCACATGTGGTTCCTCTCCTTTTGTAGCCAGACCTTGGCTTCCTGAGCAGCTTCCCCTTTGCAAAGGCAGGAAGGATATTGGAAGGCCAATGGGAGGACTGCCACGTAAGAAAGTTCCAAGGAGGTATTTGAGGATTGAGTGGTACAATATTGCAGAAAGAAAAAGAAAACAAAACCAGGAGATGAGAGGGAGGAGTGCTAGTAGTGTGGATAAGTACAAGAAACTACCGACAGAATGAGCCAAGCCTCTTTTCTCACAAACTTCTGCCTGGCAGTTGAATTTTTGTGAATTCTGTGATGTGGGATGAAGGCAGGGAATGGGAAGTGTACTGTGCAGGCTTTTCCCTGGTGGAAGTGGAAAGAAGGTCTCTTTTCCCAGCTGTATAACATAATTCCTTGGAATATAAGTAGCAAGATGTCTGTCTCACTTGAAAATTAGGGAAAACTAACCCTTTGAAAAACAACCAAAAACCACAAAGGAAGTGGAGATTGAAAGCAAACCAAGATCTGAAATAAGAGGCTGAAGACAGAGGTGAAAGACAATATAGTCCTGAGTGCTGTGCTGTGTGAACAACAGGATTATAATTGCTTTGTTTTCCCCTGCAGTTCTTAACTGATTGGATCAATGGAACTCTGAAAGAGGAACACATAGTAGTTAAAAGTCTGGAGGAAGATCTGTATGATGGGCTGGTACTTCATCATCTCCTGGGTGAGCTGCTCCTTTGAGTTTAGTTATTGCAGACGTCTCATGGAGGGACTTTCCAATCAGAGAATAAACCTCAGGAATCATGGTAGCAGGGACCTGTCATCACTTCTCACTGCACTGGGGGCCAGCTGTGATAATCACAATTCGGAATAAGTTCCCACTATCGTTTCATGTGGCTATTGTACTTCTAAGAAATTCTTAATACCTGTAATTGACATAATGAAAATGTTAACTATGAAGTGTGAAATTCAGTGCTTCTGAGATGAAGGAGAGTTTCATAAACCAGGAACACAAAGGCGGCTTGTGGTGCTACCAGAAACATTGGATGGAATCAGCACTCTCTGTGCTGAATACTGCATATGTTTTATTGCCTTAAAAACAAACAAACAAACAAAAAAACCCACCAAAAACTTAAAAGCTCTAGGTCCAAAGAACTGTTCTGGTTTGGAACTGGTAAAAATCTAAGAGGCTTTTGGCACTATGTGGTGCTTGTATAAAGATGTGACCTCCTGGAGCAGCCCATTATCTATTTCTGTTTCTCAATCTCTCCTGTCCCTACTACATTTTTCTTTCTCTTTTCACTCTCTTTGGGGACATCTTTTAAATCTATCTCCTTTCCACCTAGGCTGAGCACAGCAGCATGAGTAGGACTGGCGGATTTTCATAGTTTAATTGCCTAAGCAATGACCTCAGATTTCTTCTATATATGAGTTGATATCAACTTTGTACATTATCTACAGGAAAGATTCACTCTTTGGATTTCTGTAGAAGAAATAGAAAGAGCTAGGGCTGCAGGATGATGCTACAAGGAGTGACTTGAGTCCTCTCCCTTTTGCAGAGCTCTTAAATGATATTGAACATTTAAAACAATACTTTGTGTGCTTTGCTGTCATTTTATGTTTCTAATTGGTTGTTTTCTCTACAATGATGTTAAAATGCATCCTTCTTTCTGTGAACCCTCTGTAAAAGAAAACTTAGGCTCTCTCAAGCTGGATGTTGAGAAGATTGCATTGACAGAAAAAAAACAGCGACAGAAACTCTCTGTGATTCTGGAAGCTGTGGCCAAGTGTTTGCAACTGGAAGAAAGTCAGCTGAAATGGAGTGTGGAATGTAGGTGCAGAAGTGAAATTGAAGAAAATTTTCCATCACAGGCTTCCTGTGCTATAAGGCTGCTGTGAGGCAGTGTGCTGCCAGAACAGTAATTAAATTAAAACCTGTTTTCAGCTACTAGTTGAATCAAAAGTGAGACAGAAATATCTGACCCCGCCTGGGTCTGCCTCCTCTGTGTGTGTGGCTTGTAGATCACTTAAGAGCCTTCAGCATCCCTGTATGTCTCATTTTTAAGCTGTGCTATTGCTAAATTTTGATATTATATAAACCCCAATCTGTGTTTTGGCCCTCCATGACTTTGGGGCTCTCTGCACAGAGAGGATTCATGATGTTGGAGGGAAGTTCACATGTTTTGCACACTGAGCATTGTTTTCTTCCTTTACACTCAACAGCTATCTTGGCAAAGGACTTACTGAGCACACTGCATCTTCTGGTTGCAATAGCAAAGCACTTTGAACCCACCCTGGCTCTGCCTCCAAATGTTCAAGTGGAGACAATCATCATCGAGGTATTTGTAGTTTCAGTATTTGTTACAGATCCTAGAAGTCCTTTCCCAAGGCAAACCTGCTTAGAATTAGGAGCAGCTGTGTGTGCAGCTGTGAAACAGATACTAGTATTTCCTGTAAACCACACCTTTCAGTTTCTGAATTTTTTGGGTTAGATTGAGTATTCAGTTTGGATACTCTATCTTTAAAAGGGGAAAAACACTATGCTCTTTTTCTTCCTCAGCCAAACAAGGGAATGGTCCAAACTGAAAGCAGATGTTGATCTCTGTAAAGAAGCAAATGAAGAAATTCTGCTGTTACTGTCTCTAAATATTTTAAAATAGAAGATTGTATTCATAAATCATGAAGGCTTTTAATGCTGAATTTAGGTGACAGGAGTTCTTACTCCCCTTCCATTGGGGTGACATTTTGGTAGTTTTCTCTGCAAGCAGATATCTACATGCTGTCTTCCTCTATTTTGTTTCTTCAAGTCAATTCTGAGACTGTAGGAGGATACTGAATATCCTACAATTTGGGATATAGTTGCAAAAATTAGCACCACCAGTGTATATAAACACAGAATGTTTTTCACTGCATAAAAGGGAAGAGCAGCAAACACCAATGACTTGCTCTGATGGGGAAGTAAGAGATTTCCTGTTGGAGACTGAAGAGAGCAGAAGGAAACAGAAATCTCTCAAAACACCTGTGCTAACTGTACTGGAGTTATTGAATAAATGCCCTGTTATAATTATTTAAGGCAGCAGACAGGTCATGAAAGCTTGTTTATGGAATTTTTTTTTTTTGTGTGACAAACCCAACATTGTTTATTGTCCTTTCAACAGACCACCTCCGGAGGATTAAAGACATCAAATGCAGTGGAATATATCACAGAAAACAAGTAAGAGGGGATATATCTGGTTTTTACACTGTCAATCAGAAAAGAAACGTTGTGGGTGTGTTCCTCCTTACAAAAAGTAGCTGGGATCATGATGATGAAAAAGGTGTAAGCCCAGACATGCATATGCATGTGAGTTGTTTCTCTTATTTCTTCCCTTTTTTTTTTTTTTTTCCCTCTTCCTCTTTGGCATTATGGTGCAATACCTTTATTTATTCTATATATAAAACAATATATGTGATTATTCCTTAAGCTTAGCATTTGTTATTGCCAGGGAATTTCATAGCAAATATAGTAACAAAATTCCAGTACTGTAAATTTACCTGCGCCAGACTAAACTAGAAATTTTCTAAAGCCACAAAGGTTTAAATCTACTTGAAATTTGCTGCTATCTTGTTTTTAAATAAAGAGAAAGGAGGCAATTATTTTCTTATTTTATTGTGAAAGAAATCTTTTTAGCTTGCTGAGTGTGTGAGGTACTGCCATTATTAAAGGAGTTTAGTTGGATACAATTTATATACCAAAAAAAATGCATATCATTCTAAGAACTAGAAACAGATTTTCCTACTATCATCTTCAAGCTCTAATATCATGAGCAGCTTATTGCAAGAGGATATTGAGAATTGTGCTTGTAAAATAAATGTTCATTGGTGTGTGAGCCAGTTAAAATCTCATATACTTCCAAGACCCTACACAGATACACAATCTACTTAAAAATGTCTGTTAGAAAGTCACTCTGGCATAAAGATAATGCCACCTTGAATTCTATTTCCTGCTTTACAGGATAGCAGATAAGCAAAGCTTATGAATAAGATCAGCTCTGCTGAATCATTTTTCTAATTCTTGCTTCTTATTGCACTTCCAGGGAGACCAAAGGAGCGCAGTCAAGTAAGTGCTGGCATTGCCAAGTTCAGTGTTTCATTATGTGCTTTTATACACCATGTCCTGATCCATTTTTACCCCATGATAAAATCAGCATGCTCCCACTAAAGTTAATGGAGATTCATGGATTTTTTTCCTGGTGTTTTCCTCCAAAAGCCTTCTGTTAATGCCTGATCATACCAAGAGAATACAGCTTGGAAAGTGGGTGGTCACTTTGCCTGTGGGCTACAGGCAACTGATGGGAGGGGGGACAGGGCACGAAGGGGGGTTGATGACCCAAAAAAGAAACCTGGCAGGGGGCAAAATGCCAGCTTGGATTTGTGCATGGACCATGCTCACTGTTGGAACTATTTATAAAGGCTTCAGAGCTGTGCTTCTCATTGCTACCGGTTTTTGTACTTTCCTTCCCACAGTTTGCAAATGAGATTTTGAAATCCACTGGTACTGGGTTGTGGATGGCAGCTCGGTCAAGCAAAATTCCCAGAGCTTTTACCCTTAGGGTTTTTGAGGGCTGGGAAACACTTGAGGTGAAAAATGTCCCTGTGTGCAAAGCCTGCAGAAGGGTTCAGTGTGAGCTGCTCTTCCCTGCCGCAAAGGAGCACACAGAGAACCAAGGCAACCATTTCAATTCTCTGCTTTTTGTGTCCTTTATTTTAGCATTTTCATCCTTTGCAGAGGTGCAAACTATATAATTTAATATCTATTTATCACTTATTCCACTGAGTGATCTATAGTGTGGGCTGAAATTGTGAAAAACACTCCAACTCTTACCCTCTGCCCTAAACAAAAAAAAGAAAAAAAATTAAAAACGAAAATAACATTAGAAAAAAAAAAATGAAGAAAAAAAATCCCAACCCATAATTAGGTGTTTCTTCTAGTGGGCTGATTCTGCTGGGAGGAGAAATCTGCAATTCACTCTTCAAGATGCTCTCTATTTTTGACACAGCCTTAGCAAAGAGAGAAATCCCAAAGCGTGGCTCCAGAAGAGGGCTCTCTCTGATTTCCTTGATGGATTCACCTATTCCCTGACACTGCTTCCACAGCAACCCTCAAACAGGCAGAACAGAGAAACCCGAGGAATCCCTTTCACAAAGGAGCCTTCTCTGTCACTGTCTTTGGGGAGGAATTTCCCTTAAGCAAAGCTGCCTTTGCTTTCCTGTGCTGTAGAAGCTGCTTCTCCATTTAATTGTGCTGCCAGAGTTTCAAATATTTTGCTCATGCTTGAACCAGAGCTGGGTTGTGGCTGGGTGAGGAGGTGGATCCTGCCTTTGCTGCACCTGGGCAGAAAAGGGAAGTGAGGGTGGGACTCGTTTATTTTCTCTTTATTGCTAGAATTGATTTAATTTCCTTGGAAGTTTTAGACTCCTGCTAGTTCTTGGGCACAGCTCTGCTGGCATCAGCTCCTTGCCCATTTTAAACTGGGTGGCAGAACTGGCTGGTTTTGAGGTCTCTGAGTTTTCAGAGGAAGGGCAACTTCTCCATATCTTGCTTGTGGTTTTTTGAAGGAAGGAGGCTGGGTTTTTTTTCCCCAAGTTTGGTGTAACTGAAATTTCTGTTTGAGGAGAGCAGTAAAATATACAGCTCTTCTGCTCCCTGCATTTTATCCCAGAGGTTCAGGGTTAAAAAAACCTAAGTGAAAAGTTATAAACTGTGGTGATGTAAAACTTAGCCAGTGTTTAGAATGGTGGCAGCACAAACTGAAAACCTCTGCAGGTGAAAATTACAGAACTGAATGAAGTAAATAGTTTTCTCTGATGTGGTCAGGCTGAAGGAAACCTGTCATCCTGTCCTCTGATAAATATAAAAGAAGCATCTTTCTCTGCCTCCCTGCTACTCTTTTCCTCCTTGGATTCTAAGTTGTATATACCTTTCTCCTTCTGTAGCCACATTAAAGCTCTGATCTCTCAGTTATTAAAAATGAAACCAATTAATGTTGTTTTGATACAGAAGATGATGCCTTTGATGAATTATTTAGCTGTGCTCCAGATAAACTGGATGCTGTAAAAAAGGTAATTTACTTTTTTAGTAGACATCAAAATCTGTTAGGCTCAGCTTAAATACTGAAAAAGTTATTTTTTTCCTTTCCCTTTCTTCTCTTTCTTTTTTTCTTTAGGCACTTTTGCAATTTGTTGACCAGCATGTTGGAAAATTAGGATTAAATGTGAAAGACATTGAATCTCAGGTAGTGTACTCCAAGCTACATGTTACCCAAGTTTTGTCAGCCATTGGGGTGTTTCCTCTCACCATTAGGAATTCTCCTTTTTATTGCAGTAATTTGAAATTTGGCAACATAATGATTTCCAGGTTTAAGTTAAGATATCAAGCTTTGGTCTCTGAGGTTCTGAAGCTAATAATTAATGCAAGAATATAGCCTGTGTATTGAACGCTGCCCTTGTAATGCTACAGGACGTAATTTTCAGAGTCAGCCCAACTCCTAAGGGTGCTTTCTTTGTCAGGATGGAAATAAAGGTGTCCTGAACATTAAAATGAAAGCCAAGTTGATTGCTGTATTTAGTGATTGTTGATGCTGCATTTGCTTCATGGTATGAAGGCCTTATTTTCATCACATTTCAAAATCTCATCCTCTGAATGTAGAGCTTCTTTAGAGTATGAAATTGCAAGAGAATTTTGGCTAAGCACCCTGGCTTTGTTGAACAGGGTTCTCTTTGGGATTTTTCCACTGGGCAACTGTGAGAAAAGAAAATTTTCAAGTGTTTTGTCATGCATAACTAGGCACAATTTTCTATTGTTTATAGTTATGTATTTATGCTCATATGAAGTGTTTTCCTATTTGGAAGAGTTTGCTTTAATAGCTGTCCTTTTACCAGGTTGTATTTTCATAAATATGAATTTCGGAGCCTTATCGAACTAAATAACAAGTTCAGTGTGGAAGAGGTTGAGGGAGCTGAGTCATTAGACTGTCTCCTTACCTGAGTAACATTTTAATTCCTTTATTGATAGAATGGCATTTACTGGAATGTTTTACTAAAGCCAAATAATTTTTAGGTCATTCTTATCTAGTTTTCAGATGGGGTTATCTTACTTCTCCTAACTGGACAACTTGAGGGTTACTTTCTGAATTTAAGGAATTTCTTCCTGACTCCAGCCAGCACCATGGAGATGGTAGGTTGTTCTGTCATTATTTAGAGCTTGAGCCACCAAACTGTGTGCTCTGCCTCTTGCTTCCACTGCTGCTGCTGTGTGTGAAGTCCCATGCCCACGGTGTTTGCAGGAGGGGGGTTTGGGGCAGTGCCAACACAGGCTGTCAAAATATCTCAGAACAGGTCAGTGTCCTCTTCAAAATTAGCATCTCATGGGAGGCAAACACCTGTTACTTGCACTTGTTTGGCATGGCCACGCTTCTGCAGCCTTCTGATGAAATTCAGAGCTCTGTGTGCTGGGGAATGGGTGTGTTCTCTTCTACCAGTTTGTCCTGCAAACAGGATTTGAAGAGGATGAAACATCGTACATAGCAGAACTGGATCTTTGTGAGTTTCTTTTTGCTGCCTTAAAAACATACATTAATCAAGAACATGGCCAGAACATTTTGAAGGCCCTGTCTGTGTTTGGGTAGCTCTTGAGAGTTTACATCCTTTCCTCCCCCGAGGTTGGGGGCTGCAACATACTCAGCCAGACCTGCTTGCCACCTTTTTCCACCTCTACTAGGCAGATTTCATCTGTGCTTTAAAAGTAAAAGCTGTCACCAGCCAGAAGGAAGTGTGTGCTGGGCTGCCTCCTCCGCAGGTCTAGAATGTTGATATATTTTGAGATATTTGAGGTATTTTCAGATTGTCTCTAGCGTGGGTAGGCTTTTATTCATTTGGGTCTCTGAGTAGCTCTGAAAATTTTGAAACTGTAGCTATTTTTCCTGGTTTGTGCTCAAATCTCTGGAAGTGAAATGTGTCAGATCTTTTTTGCTTGAGAGCTGCCAGAGAAGAAAATCTCTCCTCTGGCATGGTTTGCATTACGGCTTCCCTGTGCAAATGAAGCTTTCATCTTTTTCCCAACCTTGGCAGAATTTAATGCCCCTGGGCAATATTTATTTGTAACAAAAATTCTCAGCGGTCCTATATTAACAAATAAATATTCCCATGGAGCTTTTCATCAGAAAGTTTAAAAGAACAATTCTTTGGCACCTAGGTTCAAATGTCATCAAAATTTCATTGCAGTCAGTTGGTAACTGTTTCGAGTATTAGGAAAAAAAAAAAGTGGTTTTTTTTTTTTAATCTAAGAACAGGGAAAATATATTTTGAAGGGTCTAATCAGACATAATCAAAGCATTTCCTAAGAGTTGTTTTTCTTCCCTTTCTCTTCCACTCAGTTTTCAAAATTGTTTTGTCTGTTCCCATGAGTTGGACAGAAATTTTTAACTTTTCTGTTAGCTTTATTCAGAGGAATAAACGGAATAGATTCTTATTTAAAATTCCATAAACAATCATTTTCTTTTTGGTTCAGCCCTATTCTAGCCTCACAGATATCTTTCTGGAAATGAGCTAGCCCTAAAATTCTGGTACAAATCAAAGCTCAGACTTCCTAATTCTTACCCTGCCCATCACTGGCATCAGAGAAGAATAGAATGGGGTTGCGTACTGCTTCAATACAATTCTTTACATAAAATGTACTACATTTACAAAACGTAATAATTTCATTTTAGCAAAGTTACTCCCAAGGACTGGACTTGCTGTTGAACACTTTGCCAAAGTGGTATTTCCCATTTGTTTCTCCTCTGATGCTCATTACAAAATGAAAAGCGGGATGACAACTAAAAATATCGATCGGCCATACTTCAGCTGTCATTCGTACACAAAGAGTGTCTTTCAATTCCCCTGTGCTTTCTAACTCCCTGTCATTTTAGACATTAATTGCTGCAGTAAAGTATAAAGATATAGCCTCTGCTGGGATTTAAAAGATCTCATTTGTTGTTGGAATGGTGACAACCACATGCACTGTTGGGATCAGTGTGGTGCATCCACCATACAGTTCCTTCTAACCAAAGCCATTTAATGACAGAAATTTAGGAGGTGATAAATTTTGAGGTGCAAAAAGATAACGCTGCATGTGGGCAGGTTTGTTGCAGGGTTTTTTGGGGTGTTTATTGCCAAAAAAAGGCACTTAAAAGTAACTGTAAAGAAGTGCAGCCCTGGGTGCTTATGAGTGTAGAAAGGTGTGTGTTTTCTGAGACAAAAAATATGATCACAAAATAGTTCAGGCTGAAACTAGGGGTGATATCTGTGCAGTCAGGAGATGAAGAAGATGATGATGGAGGGCTTGTGTGCTTGTCAGAACTGGTTCTTTGGCCAAAACAGGCCCAGAGCTGAAACACCCCAGATGTCCTGGCCGCTGCCCAGTTGTAAGTTCAAGAAAACTGTCCAGCTCTTTTGAGTCAGGAAGCACAGCTGGACAAAGCATCTTATTTTCAAGGCTTCCCTTTCTTGGATAATTATTACTATTTCTGTCTGAAGGTGCTTTTTGAAGTGTGCATGTTGCCATTCCTTGAAAATCCCCAATGCATTGCAGAGAGGGAAATATGCCTTTTTAGCCGTGTTGGTTCACTAAGGAAACATTTGATTTATTCATTCCAATCAGTAAACTGTGTAGAACTGCATGTTCTTAAGCTCTCCTGTCTGCTGACCATCAGAGGAAGGAAACAAACCTGAATCCAAACAGGCAGCCTCAGTTACTTGTAAACCAGAGAACCAGGTGAAATATAAATCTGTTGCTTCACTTCAGAGCACAGGGGTTTTGCTTGGCTTATGCAGGGGGGACTCCTGTGCTTGTGTTGTTGTCACAACATAACAGGGAATAGCAACCTCCAAAAGGAAAAATTGTCCAGTAGTTCAGGGAAGGCAGGAAAAGACAATCTGAAGTTCATTCAGGTCTTGTTACTCCTTTAGAGGAAGGGAATTTGCTAATTACCAGCCAAGTAAACAACTATCCTTAAGCTGTTAGAAGGGGTTATTACTTTTAAAAAATTGATTACAACTCCTGCTTATGTGTGTGATGCTGCTTTTATGTGGGGAAGGGAGGTAAAAAGCAATGAGGAAGAAATCCTCAGTCTTCATTCATAGATGTGGGATGAATTTCTGATGAGTGTTATGAAGGATATAATCACTACTATTAATGTGAATAGACATTTTAGAAGTACAACAGAACCTTCTAGCTAACAAGCATACCTGATCTTTGCAATTCTAAAGAAAATATAGAGAACTTTCCCCTTTTCATTTGTTCCAAGTGTGGTAAGCATATGGACATTGTTTAAAAAATACCCAGAAATAGCTCCATGCATCCATTAGATCAAGTTAGGAATCTAGCCTGTTTTCCTCATTAACACAAGTCTTTCGCATGCAAGGTCTATTTTTAAATAAATGGATTCTTCTGCCCACCTCATGGGATATGTTTTGCTGGAGATGGATTTTACATCTAATTTTATATGATAATTGGTAAAAATTCTGAAGAGCACTTCATCAAAACTGAGGAGAGGAATATGAGTACATATTTATGAATGTTCCTTTGAATCATCTTCAGCTACTACAGAAATACTTTTTAAAACCTTCTGTTGGTTAGGAAATATTGTCAGCTATATTAATATATCTCTCTCTCTCCAACAGCTCCACAATGTTAACCTGGCACTGGAGTTGCTAGCAGAGGGAGGCCTTCTGAATTTCCCTGTGAACTCTGAAGGTGAGTCATAACATGCAAACTTACCTGGAATAGAATTGCTAACGTCCCAGCTTAGCAATAGTTTGGATAATTGCAGGAAGCAGGTTCTGGAAATGACACTGGCACATTTCATTATGTGGCTGCTCTACAGCTCCTCATGCAGAATGAACTGTAGAGGTATATGAACTTCTTTTTGAAAAAATCATTATTTCTATACTAAAAAAGTTGGATTGTTATAAGTTTAATAACTTTACACTAAACTTAAACTGTTTAGTAATTCAGTATTTGTTAAAATTTAAACCAGTGACAGCTTCTAGGGAAATTACAGCAGCTGAGCTGGAGGCAAAGCTGTTTTCCTGTCTCATAAAAACTTTCAGTGCATTAAAAGCAAGCTTGTTTCTGTTGGAAGATATCTTGGAGAATTTCTGTGGAAAATCAGAAACACTGATCACTCTATTCAAACTCTGAAGAGTGGTGGGTCAGTGCTGAATATGAAAGTCACAGGTTTTTAGTTGCTGTTATGCTTGGTTCAGACTTGGGAGCTGAATTTTGATCTCCTTCATGCAAGTGAATGCTTCCATCACTGAACCAATGTACATGCATGCCCCTCTTTCTTTCTCCACCACAAAAACAAACAAACAAGTTCCATTTGGACAAGTCCAGTTTTCCAGTTCAAATTCTCCACAGAAAAATTTGGTGACAGTTCTTGATGGGAGGAGGGATGTGGTTAATTAATGAGTGGTGCTGTGGTTGCAGTCTGACCTCTTGAAGGGCACATAATGCCAACATTCCTCTACAAGCTTGTGGCTGAAAAAGGAAGTCAAATCTTTATTAAAAATAAAAAGTATTATTTCAGTTCTAGCCCCCTGTTAGTTATTTGAGAGTGGGTGCATGTGCTGGGGACATAACACATTGGTATCATGGAGAGGGAGAAAGTATTTAGGGCTTCCTGTGTTGTTCCTTTTGTTCTCTTTTTCCACTACTGCTTTGGTGATGTCAGCAGTTTGCATGCTGGGCATTCACAAACTGTGGGCTTTTTGCTTTCCTGCACAGAGCTAGGAGCCTGGAAAGCTAAAGAGCTTTTTTTTATGTTCACATTAACAGAGTAATGGGTGTGGGCTCAGGTCTCCATGCTGAGATCCACCTTTTGTGTGAAAAGAAATAAATCTGTGCTTTCCTTCCTCCCCTCTGGCTGTTCTGCACTGCCTCAAACACAGAGCTGATCAGTACAAGAAATACTGGTGCCAACATCCTCAAGTCCTTTACCTTCACTGGGGAAATCCTCAGCTAGTGAGTAAATTTAATATTATTTATGAGTCCTTGCTAGAGCAACACTATTTAAACTCTTCAAGGATCTCATTTTACTAGTGTTTCTTTGTTAGTCTTTCTCCCAGTGATTTACAGCACCATAAGAAGAACAGAAACCCCTCTGAATCCATTACTCTCTTCCACTGCAATTTTTAAATAAAAGAGCAGTTTATCTGGTGAAGAAGCAAGAAGCTGAAAAATAAATTAAAACAAAACCAAACCAAAACAAAAAGAACCCAACAAAAACAATGCATCAAATGTCAGTAAAACGTTATGGAAATATTACAATAAAAATTAAAGTGTCAACAAAAAAAAAGTGTGCGAAAAATAATGATTTCTGACACAGAATAATCATAAAAACCTCAAGATATAAATCCCTATTAATTATCTACTCTGCTTTTTGCTAGTGAATTTCTTACTCTGCATTATTTGCCTTTATTTGTCTTCCAGCAACAGAGTGCAGCAGAAGTCCCTTTTCTTCATGCTAATTTAACAAATTATTACTTTCTACCTCTGTAGTTCCTATTTCACTTCCTCTTGCAATTCCATTGTCCAAGTTCACATTATGACTGGGGAAATGTGGGAGCCTGTCTTTGGCAGGTGCAGACTCATCCTGTTCCAGGGATTACTAATACTTCCCATCTGGTTTTGTTCTCTCTGCTTTGTGTATCCACAGATATTGTGAACGGAGATACGAAGGCTATAATGCGAGTTCTGTATTCCTTGTATTCCAACTACAGAACCAAGGAAGCATGAAGAGCAAGGCCAAGAGCTTGAGATGCCTTCTTTTTGGGCTTTTTTTTTTTGTCCCTAGCAGACCATGGTGTGGTTTTTGGATTCCCAGCTTTGTTTGCCACTGCTCCTGGGCATTCACTGGTGTTTGACACTTGCTATGTTAACACTGTATAGCAAATATGTTGTTCATGCAAGGTTTCACATACATAGCCTGAACAACTGTAATGTATGTCCAGAGCTGGAGTAATTCTAGGGCTGCAGCTCTTGTTCCAGATCCTGCCCTCTGTATTCTCTGAGCTCCCCAATGCTGCAAAGAAATTAAATGTGTGTTTATTTTGGGCCCTGCATCCTTTGCTCTTGAAGGTGACTTTGAAAGTTCTTGCATCCTCCCCATTTTCCTGCTTTGGGAAGTCATTTGGGAAGCCAGAGAGAAAAAAGACCCAGCAGAGTGGGAGGGTTGAGACACACCTGAAGTTCAAACCTGCTTTAGAGAGGTGGCCAGTGCTGTCAGATAAAAGGATATGAATTGGATGCCAAATGAATAGGTAGCAAAATTGAATGTGAACTTACAGAGTGTTTTATAAATGTTTCAGTGCTCATTTGCTCGAATATGGAAAAGGCACTCAGCACAATATGCTGGTGTGAGACTGCAGGAACAGGGGGTTCTCCTGCACAGCTGTAGAAGGATGCCCTTATTTCCTTGCTAAGTCGGTGCCAAACCATGTCCAGCTCCAATTGAAGCCCTGACACCACCTCTGGCTAGCAGGGATGCCAATGCCTGTCCAGCATGTTGTGAGAGGGAGTCACACATCTGCACTTTGTCTGCAGTAAGAGGTGGGCAGATGCTGGCTGAGCTCTGCAGCTGGTGGAGGTAGAGGCTACTGTGGGTGGGAGCAGTGAATTCAGCTTCCCAGCACCTCTGACAGCTGAGTCATCTCAAATTTTTTCAGGTTCTCCTAGGTGAATTTGTCCAGCCTCCCAGCAGTTTCCTCTGTGTGCCTCAAGGTAGCCATGATTTAATAACAATCACCCTCTGTCTTCCTTGGGGGATTTAAATCAGAACTCCTTTCAAAACCTCCATCTCCTCTCTCAACCTTAAATTTGAGATGTTGCATAAAACTAGAAATATAATTAGAAAAAAAGAGAAAGCTTCAGTATTGTTCTTTCACTTCCATCTAATTGGAATAAATTTCCTGCCATGGGTAACTCTGACATTTGATCTCTGGTCTGATCCTCCTTCTGTGTGTTAAGGGGAAACCAGAGCTCACGGGGTGCGACTGCTGACATTTACAGAGGAGAATTTGTTGTGTCTGCCTCCGGATCATGCAGCCCAGGGAAGATCCTTAGATAGCAATGCTGCTAAGTCTTTTGAAAATGGTAACACTGCACAGCTGCTGGGCTACAGAGCTGTGCAAACTGCCCCGAGACCAATCCCTTCTGCACCAAGAATTAGCTTGTGGCATTTTTACAGATAAAAATACAATCTTTGGTGCCAATGAGCTACCAAGATTCCCCAGCAAATGTTAGTTGTGTGTGCTGATCTGGACAACTTAAGTAAAGAACACTTGGTTCTTTCATTTGCAAGTCCCCATAGGCACCTTGCTTGATTCCTTAATGGGCTTCCAAGAATCAACTGGGAGGCCTAAGAAGTTCATTCTTGCTTTGCAGAATTTTAGGTTGCTGTAACATTGCACACAGAACATGCATTCAGTGTAGAATGAATTGCTATTGAGCAGATAAACCCAGGATGTGGCTTGTGGAGAGCAGGGGTGAGGGGGCAGGAGGGCCTGGGCAGTGATTTGGTAGCAGTGTGGCCTTTTCCTCCTGGGAAGCTGTCCTGAACCTCTTGCCTTGTGCTGGTGATCACAATTCAGTTCCACTGTGTGTGACTCCAGGCATATGACCTGGGCTAGGAAAAAGCCACCAGTGCTGGGAAGATTAGCTGGTGCTGCCCTGGTTATTACTGCTCAAAGAAACAGCTGGGTTTTTCTCGGTGTGCTCTGAGTTTTATGCTCCACTCCTCTGACATAAATAAATCTAGTGCTTGTACTTCCAACAGGGGAAGTCTAGATCTTGATATTTAATAAAAGAAAGGGTCATATTCCCTTTCCAACACCAGGTTGCCTAAACCTGTTATAAACAAGTCATTCTTTTGGAAACATACAGGGGGAAAAAGATGGCTAATGTGCTTGAATCAAAAACATGCTGAGACCAAAAATTAATGTTTTAATCTGCTTTTTATGCTGAGAGCAAATTTATAATACACTTGATGTGCTTGACCTCTTTGATAAAGAGACTATGTTTGATTCCTAAAAGATGCTGTGGAATTTTACTAATCCGTCATACAGACACCCACTCCATGAATTGGTGTAGTGTACAAATGCACTATTTACATTTGAGATGTAGCCACAGCCTTGGCACTATTTTAACAATAAAGTGACAGAGCTAAAAAGAATATTCCAACACCTGGTTTAGTGGAAGGTATCCCTGCCCACATAAGGAGTGTGGGAACTGGATGGTCTTTAAGGTCCCTGCTAAAGCCCTACAGGAGCTTCTGTTGCTTTCCCTGTCCCACAGGCCAGTGGTGGGGTGGCTTTGGGTCCCAGCAGGAGCTGGGAAGTGGGACAGATCTGAAGGGCTCCCAACTCCTGCTTGATGTCATCTTTCCATCATCCACTCTTTCCAAAATACCCAGATTCATCCATAAAAAGATGTATTTCTGGAGGTGGAGTGGCAGGGGTGTGTGGAGAGAAGTGCAAGTGGAAGGGGCAGAGTTACCAGGGTGACTTTAAGGGAATGCAGATACAGAGGAGTTTTCATTAATAGGATCAGGCCACTGACTGAGATTGGTTCTGCCTGTAAAGCCTGAGACAGGGAATTGGAGAGCTGTCCCTGCTGTCAAACCTCCTTCTCCTCCTTGGGTCCTGTCAGGTTTACACTGACATTTTTTTCCCCCCCTTCATGTGGCTGCAGCCCTGGTGCCAGGCCCTTGCTGCTTTGCAATGGAGCAGGGGAACTCCAGATGGAAAATGCTGGCAGCCTCCACCTGCTTGATGGGTGGGAGTGCCAATTCTTAGTGTTTGTCCTTTCCTTTTCCCCCTTCCTTTATTCTTTTCCAATGGTTTCTATTGTGTTGTTTCTTGCAGGGAGCCATCCTCACAGTGGCTGCTCTAAGTCTCTTTGGCAATTAGACTTTCAAACCATGAAAGAAGCTCATTCAAATTCTTCTCTCCATGAGCTCTCCATGAGCTGAGCTTTTGTCTGTATGAAGAGATCTTGCTGTTCTTTCTCTTACAGGCTGCTAAAATTTCCCCGAAGAGTAAAAGCCATTGTCAGCTTTTCACAAGTGGTTTTTTTTTCTAGTCAATTAATATTTTAATAAAGACTAGATGAAAGTGTTACATTGGAGGAAACAAATTAGTGTGTATGAGCCTTTCTGCTCACTGTGGAGATGGATGGGTTTCCTCTGCCACTCAAAATTTTCTAGGATGGGGAGACTGTGAACAGGATGTAAAGACTGAGGTATGGAGAGATGAGTTTTGAGATAAGTGATAATGAAATCAGGACAGTAGTACTGTGGACTAGCACATCTCTGTGGCAAGCACATTTCTCTCCCTCTCAGGAGTTTTCATACAGGTGCACAGAGAGAAATGAAAGAGAAAACAATTTCTGTTTCTGCTCCTTGTTTTTCCCATGTGGAATGTGTTTGGAGAATTGTTTACCTGGGGTGAGTGCTTGATTGGATTCAGGTGAGGATTGTTTGAGCCTGATGGCCAATCCAACCCACCTGGGGCTGGACTCTCAGAGAGGGTCACGAGTTGTGTTGGAGTCAGAGAAAGTAGTATGTAGTTTTAGTATCCTCCTTTTATATAGTATATTAATGTATTTTAGCATAGTTATAATAAAGAAATAATTCAACCTTCTGAACTGAGTCAGACATCAGCATTTCTTCCCATTGGGTTCGCCTACATTTACAATACATCTCTACTGTTCCATCTTCTCCATCAATCAGCTGTACTTTCTAGAACTTAAAAATGAGGGAACAAACCCCCAAACACAACAAACCAACTCTGGGATTTTTGCATTTTGTTTTCAACAAAGTGCATGAGGATGCCTTTGCCATTCCCATCCCCCCTTAGTTTTCTAAGCCTTTTCCCCCATGCCATTCCATTACAACCAGAGTCTTCCAAGCCATTCTGCTCTAGCCACTGGCTAAAATTAAAGTTACTAAGGATTTTTTTAATTGATGCCCTCTCTCAGCCTGCAGGTAACTCATTTCACACCCCTCAGCAAGGAACCAATAAAATAATACAGAATAGCAGCTAATATTAGAGGAGAATAAAGTAGCTTAGTCATAAACTGATTTGTTTTATCTGTAGAACTGTAGCTGGATGCTCAGATGGGAGCTCCCCATATCTGCTGTCATGGGGAATTGCAGTTGGGGTGCTTCATGCTGTTCCTTGCACTCTATTGCAGGTGCTATTGGGATTTACCTGCACCAGACTTTTCCTAGGGCTGCAAGGAGCACACCTGTGGCAGTGGGGTGCTTCAGCTTCCTTTGGGGAATAGAGACCAGATACAGGGTTATGCCCATGCTGGTAAATGGGAAGTTGAAATATATAAATATGTGATCTGAAATGGTAGTGGTGTAATGAAAATACTTTTTTTTTTTCTTTTTTTCCTGGGGGTGATGAGGTTTGGTTTGTCTCTGGGGTTAGAAGTCTTTCAAGAACACCTGTCATATAATCCATTTGCCATCCCCAAGACAACATAACAAATATTTTAAAGTCTCTAAACCTGGCACTAGTCAGGCTTTCAAGGATCAAAAGCCAGGAAAAACAAAACTCACAGTGTGAAAAAGCCACAAGTACCAAAGTAGGTCTTGTAATGGATTTTTTTTCTAGAAATACTACTGAGGCATGTGATCTGACCCTAAACACAACTGAAGAACATAATTTGATTATAAAATAGGAAAAAATCTGCATAGTTTGGGCCACATTAATTATACTAGTGTCATAGTAAAATAAAGACTCCTAGTGGAGTCAGATATTTGTATTCTGTCAGCTATTCTGCACACACACCGACTAAAATTATGGAAGAAATTAATAAACCTCATTTTACAACTTCATTCTAGCATCTTATTTTTCTGTGTGCTTCCCCCTACATATTTCAGTATTTTGGCATTCTGACTCCTTGTCCACCCCAATTTCCCTCCCTTTTTTGCCTTTGTGCTGCTGACACAGGTGGTCCAACAGCTCCTTCCCCTCTCCATACTCTGAGCTGCCAGGATGTCACGGGAAGTTATCTGGTAGAGAAGCTGTATTTGAAATGCAAAAAGCTGTGTA